AAAATGTATTTTAAATGTGGATTTTCAATTTAAATTAAATTGTAAATTAATTCATAAATTAAAAACAGTAATCAAACCTTCCACTTAAAATTTTTTCAAAGTGGGACCTCAGGATCTTAATCACAATATAAAACATGGGACCAGACACTCATAACCAACAAACCAAATCAAAAAGGGTAGGGAATTACAGATTGTAAATTTTGAAAAGGGGATGCTAAGGAAAGAACCTAAGTATTTAAAGTGTGCTATTTATTCTTAATCATGATGCTGCCTAAATGAAATGTCTGAAGAAAAGAAGTTTGGGGAAAAACTAGCCTTGAGGATATAGAGGTAAATCTGGCAAAAGTCAGTGAAGACCTCCTAGTTTAAAACTAACTCCCTCTGCTGCTGAGTGTGAGATATATTCTAGGGACTTATGGTGTTGAGGAAATTGTTCACCAATGTGAGATAGGCTTTTCATTTGTAGAGAGCCCAAAAAATGGTAAAGGAAAATATTGTGAGTTAGTTAACACATTTCTCTCTCTTGGGATGAGAAAACAAATGAAAATTAAATATAAAACCTGATACTTCACAGAAAAAGACCACAGAATTTGTGAAAAAATAATGTTAAGGAAGAATATTTAGTGTATAACTCATCAAAATTTATCAGGAAATATATGAGAAGGGAAAGTAATTCACTTCATGGATAAATAATTGGCTGGACTCAGTTTTGGTGGGGAAACAATATATGACTTAAGAATTTGATAATTGAATAGTACTTGCCACTGGCTGGGAGGGTAGAGGAAATTGGGAAATTTTTGTCAAAAGATACAAACTCTCAATTATAAGATGAGTAGATTGCAGGATCTTATGTATTATATGATGACTATAATACAATGAGAGCAGATTTTAAGGGTCCTCACCATACACACAAATGCACAGATGGTAACTGGGTGGTATGGATATAATTAAGTGGACTGTGGTAATTAGTACACAACATATACCTATATCAAATAATTATCTTGAATATATACATTTTTATCAACTCAATATTTTAAAAAAGAATGACAGAATCAAAACGGAAATGTGGTTGAATTACTACCAATCTGTATAAACATAAAAAACTTGTATAAAACTTTCATAATGATACAGTACTTAAAAATACTCCTGAATGATGGAATTCACCAATTTGAAAAATATAAAAATAAAAAGAATTTAGATATAGGGAAGTAGAATAAAAAAGCTAGTGTTGAACACCGATTTGATATAAGTATAAAAATAAGAGTAAACTACTGAAAGAGTAGAATGTAAACAGTGTTGTCCAAATAAGTGCAATATACTTTAAGCAACCAAAGTTATAGTGAGAAAAGAGGATTTAGAAGGAAGGTTGATTATAATTGATCCTCTTAGAATATCTGTTTTGCATAAATTAAAGCAGATATAGAAAATAATATAAATATTATATCTGAGCTTCATAATGGTTTTCATATTTACTTCAGATAGATTGACTAAAATATTGTTATTTTATTGATGTGACCTGAAGTGAATTGTTAATTCGAAATTTAGAGTTTCTTTTCAGTATCACATAATTTTTCTGTTGTACAATTTACTTAAAATTAAAACTTTAAAGTTTACTCATTATTTATTTTGTGGTTCAGGGGTCAAACTCAGGGCTTCAAGCATACTAGGCAAGGGCTGTATCCCTGAGCTATATCCCCAGCCCTCACCTTTCTTTTTAAAGCAAGAAAACTATATTACAAGATTGTTTAAACTCTGATTATTGACACAAAGCATTTTTCTGAGTTAGTACATTTGTTGATGATAACATATCATTACACTTTAATGTAATAAAATTCATATCAATTTCAGAAATGATTGTACAAGAGTTAAGATTTGCATGTTGACTGATATAATATATCCATATTGATTCTTTTTGTTCTTTAGGTCAGAGTTTTTCAGGTGATTATAATGAATATTTTGGACTACAAGTAGATGAAGATGCCCTGGTTTATCTCATGTTGGCAAATTATTTGATTCACACATTGTATCCAGATTCCATAACAATAGCTGAGGTAAAGCCATAATGATCTCTTATCTTCTGACTCCCTTTAATACAGAACATTTTGTTACCCTACAGTATTTGAATAATTAATCTGAAGTTATCAATAACTGCATAAATGGCATTGTGCCCTAACTGTAATACAGCCATGTTGTATGGGTGGCACATTATTTAGAAGTCTTTGTTTTCCTGTTAAGGGGATAATATATACTAATTACTTGTCACCACTCTATTATTAAAAAGAAAATGCCAGTTGTAAGAAAATAAAATATCCTCATCAGTGGAAGGTCCTTCTGCCCCGAGACCTTCAGCAAATAATTGAATATTTATGTGTGTCTATTTGTTTATTTATTTATTTTTCTTTTCTGGTGAAATCATTAGAATGGCATGGATCACTGCCTGCAAGCTCCTCTCAAACCTTTTTTGTTCTGATGTGATTACCTTGTTTATGTTAGTGCTCTTGGATTGCCAAATGTTCATAGTTATTCATGATTACTGAAAGTTCTTGATTAACTGTCCCAAAGCAGCACTGTAATGATATAATTTGGTATATACATAACTGACAATTCCCTTCTTGGTGATAAATGTGATAAATTAAGAACTGTGTTAAATGCTTATGCTAATTTGGATTTAGTACTAAAATATCCCTGGTTTTCTGAGTCCTCTAACTAGGAGTTATATGAAAATTGAATTTAACATTTTTAAACTGTACCATAAGAGTACAGTGGTGGGCATCTAAAAACAGTAAAATTATCTTTAGAAAAAGCTGGAATTAAGGTGTATGTTTATATCGATGTTATTTAGTTCATTGGAATGAAATGCTGTGTGAGTCCCCTTATAGTACTAATTTTTTTTTTTTTTTTTTTTGGTGCTGGGGATAGAACTCGGGTCCTTGTGCTTGCGCAGCAAGCAACAAAACCACTGACCTAAATCCCCAGCCTATAGTACTAATTATTTGTATAGCCTTTTTGTATGCATCATTTCTCAAAAGCAAAAATTTTCAACAAGTTGGAGTAGTTTCATTATTTGTCCCTTAGATAAGAGAACATTTGTACTCCTTTTAGGCTTTTTGCCATCTACATATCTTCTGAGAATATAGCAGCAATACTTAAGTTCCTCAGATGATTTTTTAGGTAGAATTAAAAAACAAACCAAAAATTATAATATAATTTATATACTCAGTATCAATTCATACTCTCTACCTACTTATATTTGATCATAGCACATAAGTCTTGCTAATACTTGTACTAGTACAATACTTTATATGCTGAATGTCTTTTAATATGAGAGTGTATTTTAAACTTTGTGTTCTTTTGCATACTGTTTAATCTGTCAAACTTCAAAAAATTATTTTGTCAGTTATATTTATACCAATCCAAAGCAGAGATGTTATATATGACAAATTACTACAGACAATTAATGACAGCACAAATCAAAGGTGTATTTTGAAGAAAAAGAAGCAATTATTTAATACATAAAAGTTGAAGTTGTTACATTGATATTTCCATTCATTTCAAGTAAAATGGTTTTTATCATCCAGGGAGTTCTTCTCTGATTACGAGGGTTTCTACCTTTAGCCTACTTTGTATTACTTGGTTTTAGATTTTTTTTTTAAACAAGATGTGTCTTCAATTTATTCTTCTTAAATTGAAAACTACATCAATTTCAATACATCGCTTTTCTGTCTAGTGGGGTCTCTTCAAAATGTAGAATTGATCCTTGTGAACTATTAAAAAAAGAAATATGTAATGAATAAGTAATATAATTTTATATAAAGTTATGTAGTAGAAATATGAATTTATAATGAAAATTATGATTGAAATCATTTTTCAAGAATATATCTACCATTCTATGCAATTATTTTATTAATTTAAATGATTTTAATTGAATTATCTCCCTTCTGGAATAGCCATGTGGTTTTTAGATATTAGAGAATTAGATATATCTTCATTTCATTCAAAACACAATCATTTTTATATATTATATCAGCAGACATCGACTTCTAAATTTTTTCATTAGTGTGTGTTTGCAGTACATTCATCCTAGGGAGTTGGTAAATGTACATAATACATCATAATTCTTTTTAACCCCCCCATCTCTTGGTACCTTTCCAATTTGTAAAAGTATATTTATTTTCTTGACTTGTATATTTACCTTTTTTTCTTTTAAATTTTTAAAATATAGTCACCAGCTGTGCACTTCGAAAAGCGAGCTACAAATCACTCGTGTTAACAGGACACCGATCTAGGATTCACTTAACACTCAAGGCAAATTAATATCCATATATTTGTCTTAGAGATTCTCTTTCTTGAAATAAGATTTAGATGCTACAATACAGAACATATCTTAATGTCTTCTCAAGAAAAATTATCTTGATTTTAACACCAAACTGGTACAAATCATTACTCATGTTTGCCTCATCAGTCAAAGTCCTTGGGAAAGCATTGTATGTGATTCCAGTCTAGTGCTTGATGTTCAGTATTTATATTCAGCCAGTGCTTACAATCAATTAAACTGAATACTTATACTATCTGTGAAACTGTGACTTATATTTTGATAAATATAACCTTTAAAATGCTTTTTTGTTGATTTTTTTGCTTTTAATGAACTATAAAGAACTATGCAGAAATAAGATATTGACAAGATTTTTATTTTCTTATTGCTGTATTACACTATATACATATTTATCTATACATTTCTTCCATAAAATAATGTTATTTTATTTCCATAGAAGTCAGACAGTTTTTTTTTGGCCATTTCTTTGGTAAGAGTTTGGGGATGCTACTGTAGTAAAAGCAGCATTTGAGCTGTCAAGGCAAGTGATAAGGAAGAGTACATAAGACTGTGGCTCAAGAAATGAAGCTGAGGAAAAGTTTTTTTTTTTTGGTACCAGGAATCGAACTCAGGACCTTGCACTTGCGAGGCAGGAGCCAGAACCACTGAGTTAAATCCCCGGCCCAAAAGTAACTTTTTTTTTTTGGTACCAGGGATCGAACTCGGGACCTTTCACTTGCGAGGCAGGTGGTAGAACCACTGAGCTAAATCCCCAGCCCAAGGAAAACTATTTATTTGAAAGATAATATGGAGTTACAAAAGATAGCACTTAGTTCATATTTTGTTATATATGTTGTAATATCTTTTGTTACATTTGCATCCTTATACCTAATTTTAAACTAATCTATTCAATTAATTATTTGATTATCAATAGACTAGTGGTGGAATAATAATAGAAAGAGCCTAGTTCAAAAATGTTCAGGTCTGAGTCCTGACGTCACCATTAATGGTCCTCTTCATTCAAGACCCCTTCACTTCAGTGGCCATTGTCTCCATATCTGCCAAAGCAGAGGCTCCACTCAAAGAGCTCTCCCCCCATCCCTTCCCCATATATCTTACTTACTATGATGAAAGCCATCTTATTGCTTTACTTTTAATGTGTTAATTCACTTTCTATTTCATCAAAAGGCACCACTTACAAATACACTCCATGTCTGGGAAGAATATTGTGGTGGACTAATTAATGGTCAGCTTGTGTGGGAACGCCCAGCTGAACTGAGTCATCCTGGTTCTGGGTGTAGAAAACCCATCAAAACCCACTGGAAGATTGTTGCCAGAGGCGTAAAGGGAGAATGCGAGAGGAAGATTGCATGCTGTTGATTTTCCCGGAGGACCTGTGAAGTCTGGTTTTTCTGATAAAAACTCGGCTGTTCTCTTTGTCAGAGGAGTGCAGGTCCTTGCTGTCACCAGGAATGGCTGGTGTTCTCTTGGGGGAGCTCTGGTGTTGGCCTTGAGCGTCACTTCCTGGCTCCAGTGCAGGTCTCTCAGTCTTCTGGCACAGATTGTTCAACATGCTGGGGAGACTTTCTAGCTTCCACCACTGGCCTTGGGGCCTTCCTGGTGCAGATCCTTGACACGGACTTGCATGAGACACTGCCTGTTGAGGGCTCTAGGCCTTCGGCTGGGCCTGTGCAGGCCACTGCCATGGGATCCAGGCCCTCAGCTGGGGCTGGATTCTTCCGGTCTCTGATACAGACAGATCTCTTGCACTCTTCTGCATTTGACTTTTTGGGTGAATATTATAAAATAATCCTATAAATTATGTATCCTGTATTAAATCTATTCTCTTGTGAACCATGGACTACAACATATATGGAGAAAAACACATAGCAGTTACGTTTCACATGTATTTTTGTATTTATAAAATGTTCGAGCGAGACAGACAGATAATGCTGATCCACTTTGTTTTAGGATGTGTCCGGAATGCCAGCTCTGTGTTCTCCCATTTCCCAGGGAGGGGGTGGTTTTGACTATCGGTTAGCCATGGCAATTCCAGATAAATGGATTCAGGTAAGATTTCATGTCAATATTTATTTTCCCTTTGGATACTTAGTTGGCTTATTTATTCTTCAACTTTTTCTTAGTTACAGATAATATAAATTAACTATTAAATTCTCCCATTAGTGTGTTGATTCTTGTGCTTTTTAATAAGGGATTTTCCATTTCTAATACAATTGTATGAAACTTTAGTGCTGATACTTTAAACACTTTGAACATCATTAAAGCATTCATTTCTGCTGGAACATCACCCATTAACACATCCCAGCCAGCTGGAACCACCTGTGGTAGATGGTGACTATCCCATTGGGCAGCTTGTACTACTGGTGATACAAATGGACCTAATCACTTTTATCAGTCATTTTACTAATAAAATTAATAAACAACCATCTGACAGAACAGTCATAGATGTCCCACAAGTGGTCCAAATTGCCAGGCTGCAAGACATAGGAATTAAGGCCCTGTGATGAACATGTTAATGTAGAACTTACACCTCAATTCCCTGTACTTGCTTTATGCTATGGCCTTTCCTCAAAAAAATTGAATTCAGGGCTGGAGATTTAGCTCAGTGGTTCCGGCACCTGCCTTGCAAGTGCAAGGTCCTGAGTTCTATCCCTGGTACCAAAAAAAAAAAAAAAAAAAAATTGAATTCATCTGTTTCTTCATTCAGCATTTAAAAAGTCCTTATCTTATGCCAGATAATAGGAATGAATACTATAATTAATGGAACTTTACACATTATTTCTCAATGCAATTTTATTAAATTTAATGATAGTTCGAGTAGTTTGGATTTTATATATACATATATATTTGATAAAATACACATAGAAAGAAATATATAAATAAATATTTGTATAATTTTTTTTTTACCTGAAAGGTGAAAGTCAATTTAGGTTTTGACTTGGAGCATTTTTGAGTAGCCACATCTACAATCATGGGCTGCATATATGTAAGGAATCAGAAATATATATAAAGGACTCTGATGAGTACTATGCAGGCATGAACTGGTTCCATGAGACTACAGTGGTAGAAGTGTTTAACTTTTTGAAGAAAAGTCAAAACTTATTCTGAGAGTGTGATTATTGAAATCATCTCCTACTATCCTTCTTATACCCCAGGGGAATTTGTACAATGCACAGCTGTGATATTTAAATTTCTACCAACATGACTTCTGCTCTTGCATTTACAATAATTTCTTAAACATTATCAGGTTCAAAAGCAATGTTTTACAAAGATTATTAGACTAAGAAATCAAATGTAAATGACTATTAGGCTTTAATCAAAAGGTAGCCTTGTATTTGTTACTATTTTTAAAATGCTGTGGTTTTCAAATTTCTCACCTTTGTGTAAACTTTATCAGTTCCCCTATCTTACTATTTGTAGTCTTTAAAATAGTCTACTTTCTCTCAAAAGTGTCAAATCTTACTTGTTAACCTCTTGCTAAAAAACTTGGATTATTGTTTGGTGCAAATTCAAGAATATTTCAAAATGTACATCAGTGTAGAATTATTTTCCATTTAATCATGGCTCACAGTCATATATTCTGTACTTGGAATAGTGATGGGGCCTTTTTTCCAATTCTTTAGATTTAACCTAATAAACATTTTACTACTTCATATGTTCAAGGAACAATAGAAGGCATTGCAACATAAAAATAGGAAAGTGTATGGTCATATGTTTATGACTGTCCTATCATCCTCAGTTAAAGGCACATGTCATCTTCTAATATATGTAATTCTCTAAAAATCTTTCTGTATCATCAAAATGGAGACATTAGTTAATAAAAGTAGAGAGAGTATTTTTAAAACCCTCAGATACAGTGATTTTCCTCTACTTTTCTAAGTTTTGAATTTAAAAACATAGCTTAATAAATGACTGTAATTTCCCCTAAATGAAAATGAAACTTGCAAAAGTATTAAATCGAATGACAGATGAATATGTGTGACATGCACTTAGAGTAAGCATAGTTAGAATACTAGATTTTACTCATTTTTATTGTTCAAAAGGAAATTATATACATGTTTCCCCTGTATGATTTCATAATCTCTAATTTGGAATGTAATTTTAGTTTAATATGTATTTAATAAATATTTGACTGTCTAAAATATGTGAACTTTGCTATATCTCTTTTTATTTTAATCAGTTTGAATCACTGAAGTAGTCATGTAATGGCACTATATATACAATAGAAATTATGAATTATGAAATTTATCACTTCTAAGTACTGATTTATTAATTGCAACAAATAGTTACTGAGTACTTAGTACTTAAAATTTTTATATTGAGGAAATGTATATTTACTTAGTTGTAAAAAATATCTTCCTCAGTGGTACCATCTTTCAAAGCTATATAGTACACTATCATAGCCAGTATGCTGACAGTGATCTATTCAAGGTACACAATGCTTACATCAACACTAGCTAACCAGATGTAGCCTTTTAGCCAAATATATTTTGGTGTTACCCTCAGTTACTCTTTAATTTCTGGTAACCATTTATGTCTCTCATTTTGTCATTTTCAGAATGTTTTGTAAATGAAATCATGTAGTATATAACCTTCCTGGATTGACATTTACCCTTATCAGAATTCTCTGGTGATTTATCTAGGTTGTTTCAAGTATCATTAGTGCATTATTTTTCATTGCTAAATAGTATTCTATGGCATGGATATGCCACAGTTTGTTTAATCATTTATCAACTGAAAAACATGTAGATGGTTTCCATATTGTAACTATTATGAATACAAGTATTATAAACATTTTGTATAGAAATCTTTTTAATGACTATGTTATATTTGCTACAGGATAAATGCTCAACAGTGCAATTACTGAGTCTCATAATAGTTTATAATAGTAGCTTATTTAATTTTTAAAGAAACTGTCATACTGTTTTCTAAAGTAGCTGTATCATTTTACATTCCCAATAGCAATATTTGAGCAATCTTGATTCTTCATGTTTTTGTGAGCATTTTTATTGGCACTGTTTTATTTTAGCTATTCTGATAGGTATAAAGTTATTTCTCAATGTGGTTTTAATTTATATTTCCTAAATTGTTTATGCTGGTAAAATATTTACATGCTTTTAGTTGCCTCTATGTGTCCTCTTTAGTGGGATGTCTGCTTATATCTCTGGACTATTTCCAATTAGATTGTTTATTTACTGTGTAGTTTTGAGATTCTTAATATTCTAGATTCAACTCCTTTATTGAATATATGATTGACAAGTATTTTTCTTCCCATTTATAGCTTATCTTTTTATCACTTTTAAGTGGTTATTTTTTAGTTTTTATTCTTTTTTTTAAAAAACTAATGAAAGCCATTTTATCATTCTTTTTTCATTTGTAGTTCTTTTTTTGGTACTGTGTTTAAGAATACTTTGGCTCTGCTATATTTTCAACTAAAAGTATGATATTTTTAACTTTTATATTCCCATACATATCCATTCTGAATTATTTTTCTAAGTACATGATCCATTTTGAGTATTTGTATGTGTGCAAGATATAAATATTTTATCTTGATTTAACTTGAGGTTCCTGTCTGTGGATAATCCAGCATCATTTATGGGAAAGTCTACCCTTCCACTAAATTGCTTTTTCATAAATTAGTTTATCTTAAATTAGTTGAGAGGCTGGGTATTCCTCAGTGGTAGAGTGCTTGCCTAGCCTCTACTGGGACCTGGGCTCAGTCCCTAGAATTGGAAAACAAAATGGTTGGACATATTCATATATTCCTGTACGTTAGTTTCCCTTTGTTGTTATATGTAATTACTAAAAATGTAGTGTCTTAAAACAACATAAACTTAGTATTTTACAGTTGTGATTGTCATAGAAGTGGTTCCTACCAAGCTAAAATGAAGGTATTGGCAAGGTATTTATTTCTTCTGGAGTCTCTAAAATAGAACCCATTTTATTTGCCCCTGTTAGTTTCTAAATGTTGGTTTGTATTCCTTGGCTCATGGCCTCTTATTCCATCTGCAAAGTCAGCACAACGGCATCACAAATCTCTTTCTCAGTCTGCCACTCATGCTTCCTGCTTAGAAGGATCTGTGTTTCTATTTTGGGCCAAAAAGGATAATCCAGGATACTTTTTCCATATCGATAGTGTCAGCTTTAAGGACTCTTTAAAATCCTTGTTGCTCTATAACACATTCACGGGTTGTGGGAAATTGGGTGTGAACATGTGTAGGTAGCTCATATTTTGCCTGTGGTCATCTGCCTTTTGGTGCCCAATGATTCCCAGTAGGGTTATTGGGACTGAATAAACAGGTCTGAACTCCATAGAGAAGTAACTCAGCAAAGGAAAATATGAGCAAAATTCTTAAAAATTCATCCAGATATTAATTCATCTCATCAGAGATTCAGCCAAGTTGCTTCATGTATCTGTAGTGCCATCTGGTACCAAAATTGGGATTAGTTAGGTAAAAAATGACTACAAATTCAGCAGTATAAAACATTACTCAATTATTATCTTACCTTTTCTTCAGAGGAGAGCCACACATTCACAGATTCCGTTAACACTCAAGGTGAGGGAATTGCACAAATCCATAAACGGGAGAGAAACAATTATGAGGCCATTTCAGAATTCTGTCAGTGACTTCATTTGTAGGAAGAGTATCTTAAAGGAGAAAGAGGCTGTATTCAGTACATAAACTTGAGGAATATCAGCTTTTATAGTACAGCCAGAGAAAGAATTTTCAGGATGTTCAGAGTAAGCGAAATAAAACAAAAGTTTCGCTTGGGTAGACCAAGAAAGGGAGCAATTCTTAGGAAGGGAGACGGTCAACAAGAGTCATGTGCACCAAGTGTGAACCAGAACAAGAGCAATTACTGCCCCAGGAGATGACCATCTGAGACCTTGGCAGGATAAACCCAGTCAAAGCAATGTTAGCTAGTATAAACCTGGTTGAAGAACATGAAGTGGAAACAAAACTACAGTGATAATTATAGTATTTTATGACAATTAACATTTAAACTTTGAAATGATTGCTTTAGTGAACCTTGTTTAAGAATGGAACCAAACATTCTACCTGTTAAAAAGTTACAGGAACACATTGTACAACATCACTTTCTGTGGGCACTGTTTAAGAGGTAGCACTTACTACAGAAAGAAAGTTGCAAACATCGTTAACTGTGATTTAAGTCATCTGTACAAAACCAAAATACATACATATGGTACACCACTATCAGTTAGATATTCTAACTAAAAGCTGTGACTTCCTTAAAGGTTTTAGCTATGATATCACTGATATTTTGGTAAGTTAATATCTACATGTCAGACATTTTGAAATTATGCGATGTATGCTTTCAAATTGAGATTTAAAGAAAACTAATGGTTTACTCACAGGTTTATTTTTCTGTCTTGTATCTAGCTACTTAAAGAATTTAAAGATGAAGATTGGAATATGGGCAATATAGTACATACTCTCACAAATAGACGCCACCTTGAAAAGTGCATTGCTTATGCAGAGAGCCATGATCAGGTAAAGGAACACATGTATAAATTCATACCTCTCTTAATATGTATCACTCTCTCATTCTTCTTAAAAACACATCTAAGCACAAACTTCTATAGTTTAATACAGTTACTATAGCATATTTTGTGTGTATGAATATCTTTATATGAAAACTCATACTTGAAAACATTTTAATTTTCTAGATCTAGAAATTCTAGCTTCACAATGCAGTATGTTTACCCTGCCACACTGTAATTAATAATTTCTGTGTTGCAGTTGCAAATGTTATATATTTACCTCTATCATAAAGGAGAATATTGGTGTTGATACAGTATAATTTTAGTTTCTATCTTAGGTTTCCTTCTTCTAGAGTTTTTCTTTTATGCTCAGAACAAGTTTTCTCATTTTTTTGCTCAGTCATGAAAATCTTGACTGCACCCCTTACAGCTTCATTCCCTCCTCTCTAATGCAGCCTGAAGTGCTGCCCAAAGAGCAAGGCTCTTTTTAACCCAGGTCTATTGGTTTCTGCTTGTCATTCAAGGTCACTCATGCTAGAGTAGGCCTAGTTCCCAGTTCCATTCCCTAGCCAACTAAGCCTTCTGTTCTATAAAACAAAGGCTGTTTAGCTGTAATCTTCATACACATCAAAAATATAATTTGTTTTGTAGATAAAAAGAGAGCAGTAAAAATATTAAATTCCTAAAAGTATCCCTATTAGGAAAATTGAAAATAAAAAATAAATTTCTCCATCATTTCATCAGAAATTGGCCATTTCATGTAAACATATTTTTTTTTCAGATTTTTCTCTTCTAATTACTAAGAAAATATACGTAACTAGGAATTAGTTATATAAAGTCCATCATCAAATGTTGCCTGCTGTGTGATTTGTAAATAAAGTTAATGTGAAACACAGCCATGCTCATTTCTTTACATACTGCTTTCACTGTCACACTGGCAGCTTTGAGTAGTTGAAATGGAGAACATGGCCCACAGCACCTAAACCCATATGTTTGGCCTTTCATAGAAATTTGCTAACCCGTAAGTGGTTATGCTAAATTTTGCATCTTCCAGTTAGGGGCAGTGCTTTCTTATCAACTTGAATAAATACTATCCTTGACCATGGAGCAGATCAAATAAGCATCTACTAAATGTCTAAAACCCAAACTAGAGAAAAGAATAATATTAGTTTAAATGGTGGTGGGCAAGGGGATGAGGAGTGGGAACCTCTCCCCAAATATGTAACATAGTAAAAATTCAAATGCATGCGTAATTTATGTATTTCCATTATAAATTCCGAGGAGTTACAGCATGTTGTAAATTTATAATATGTGTTTTATTCTATGAATAAATAAAAGAATGCATACATGAGTAGAATAAACAAATTGAAGATGAAACTGATAGATTTCTTTCTTAATTCACTGCCCAGTTGTAAAGAAACTAAATTGTGAAGAAATTTTTTGTACCTTAAAGATTGAGGTAGTTCACTCTTATAAGTTGTCAAGAATGTAGGAAATGAGGGCCGGGGATTTAGCTCAGTGGTTTTGCTGCCTGCTGCGCAAGCACAAGGGCCCGAGTTCGATCCCTGGTACAAAAAAAAATGTAGGAAATGATGTAAATTGCCTGAATCTTTCTAAAAGCAAGTATCATTTGATCCATAAGGCAGATAAAAACCTAAAAATATATAATTCTCATTTATAAGATGAATAATAAACAAATACATAAATCATAGTAAAATATTTTAAATATTTTTAAAGTAGGTATTTGAAAAATTTAGATAAATTCTTAACTTTAACAATTAAGTTCATGAAATTAAATTTTGTAAGTATCACCAGTTTTTTTGAAGTGCTGAGAACTAAACCCAGTGATGCTCTACCACTGAGCTACATTCCCAGCTCCCCCCACTTTTTCTTGAGTCAGGGTTTCCCTAAATTATTAAATTGCCCAGATAGCACTTGAGCCTTGGATGTGGGATCCTCCTAACAGGGCCTCCCAGGGTGCTGGAATTAAAAGCTATGCCTTACTATGTTAGTCTCTCTTTCCTTTTGTTTTCTTTTTTCCTTTCCTTTCCTTTCCTTTCCTTTCCTTTCCTTTCCTTTCCTTTCCTTTCCTTTCC